CTAATAACTCTTTACTATTTGCTGGTAAATCAAATGCTTCCCACCACTCTGTGTTTCCTTGCAGCTATATTTAGACCACAGTCACAGTGCTCCAGATCCCAGGACTGACCATATTTTACATTTAAAGAAAATTCCTTACCAGGTATGTGGCAAATTCAATTGGCTTATCTGGATTATTATACAGGAATATAAAGGCAGATACGCACCAACAATTTACTAAAAGTGTTAGAGCTCTTTAAGAGAATTCCTCAAGTCACTCATGTTGCATTCTAACCTCTTCCACAGTCCCCAGATCCTCAAATTCTTCTGCAGTTCGTTTCTGGCAGACAACCTTAGGTCTAACATTCAGAGGAAAACTTCACAGTTCTCCCATGCTCTTCAAGCATTCCAGCTACGCTCTCCCGTTCCCTTGCTTTCCTACAAGTACAAGACTTGATAGAGTTACAGTGCGATCAGATCAAATTCTAACACAGCTTCTGGCAGAAAGACCTTGGGACAGTATTTGGAAAGGGGAAACTCTGAAGTATGTTCCTTTAATATATTAAAATAACATTTCCTGGAGGTGGCATTAAAATTCAGAAGCTGTGCTCTTAGAACGACAACATGCTGAAAACACAGAATTTCCTGTAAGTTAAGATCCTCACAGGACCCCTGATAGTCCAAAGTACTGAAGATATACGGCTTTTGTATAAGCACAACTTTTTTTTCATTTTTAATTTCCTTTTGAAATTTGATTTGGCTATAATGCTCCTTCTTGAGCTGTTTCCACTCCGTTTCCTCAGAGATGGCTGCATACTAACAGTCTAACATAATGGCACAATCTCTTTTTCCGCCCGCCCCACGCATGTCGATTATTCTATTACATTTGAAACCCAGACAAGACAGTTTAGATCTGCAGAGACAGAAGCAAGCTTGTCCTACGTTCAGGGAAGAATTTGTTTTTCTGCAGTCTGAAACAGACAATCTGAGGCTGTATTTTCAGAGACTGGATTCCAGGGACAAAGAATGTGTTGGAGAAAAGCTCCAAGGAGGAAGCATTTAAGGGAAGTTTTAATTTGGATCTTTGATCAGATTTGTTTGGAGAAACTGAAAGGCTTCGGTAAGGAAGGGTCAAAAAAATTAGGAACGTTCCACCTTAAAATTTTAGTTGCTAACGTGAAATAACAAAACAACAACAAGAACAAAAACAGACCTGTTGTATTCATTTAAAGACAAAGACTCTGTTCTTGTGGTCTTCTTCCTGTATTTTAACAGTTGTAAGCCAAGTAAAGATATCTACACATCTGAATACCTAGATATAAAGATACTGAATATAAGCAGACTTTTTTTTCTCCTGTTAGCACCATACTACCAAGCCAGCCACTATTTTTAAAACCAAATAGAGAATTCAAATTTATTTTCCCCATAGTCAAAAAAAATAGATAGGTACCCTTTAGACAAGCAGGTAAAGCAGGACTCTAGGATATTCTCCCGGCACTTGATACTACAGTAAAATTAAAAAATAATTGCTACTGTTGCTCAGAGGATGAATTTCTGGTTAGTTCATATCGAAGGGGCACTGGCTGCACTGTAGTTAAGAAGGGGCCATTCGCTCTCCTGAGAGACCAGGCAGTGCCCAGAGCAACATTTCCACATCTGGATAGTGATTATGGTGATCATACACATATGCTTATTTCTAACATGATGAAAAAAGGTGCCTCAACTGCTAGAAAGAACTGCACCCAGAGCCATCTGCCAGGCCGCAGCCTCCCTGGGAGCCGGCGCGCGCTGCTGGACACTGCGGACGAATTGGGATCACTGGCTGCACGAACATGGAAGGAGGGAACGCAGTGGTTATTTTGCCTGGGGCATGCAAATAACTAGGGATATGCTGCTAATCATGGACTTCTGGAAAGCAAGCAAACCAACATGCACATTCAGACTAGATCAACATCTTTTTAAAAATCAGAACACTGTACCATAACGGCTTAAATTATTTGGATCTCTGTGATGTCTAAGTAGGTAATTGTAGGGTATGTGTGGCTGATTCCCACATAGCCCCTTCATCTATGAATAACTTTTTTTTGCTTCTAGGGTCATGGTGTTGATAACCTGTGTAGGCTGCTTTTCACATAATTTTACAGCACAACAATCAGGGCAGACATACAATCAGCTTGAGGAACAATTAAAGAAAGAAATATTAAAGTTAACTCAGCTAGAATATAACCAAACCCACGAGAAAAAAAAAAAAAAAAAAGGACAATCAAATTTCATTTCCATTTCACTAAGACAAGGCTGACACTTACAAGAGTATTTCATAGTTTATTGAAAGAGCACTTGTTACAATACAAACCAGTTCTGCATTTCACAAGGCAGATGCTTGCTCTTTAGACAATCCAAAACTTGTGGTTTTTTTTTTTTTTAAACAACAGATCTGAAAAAACCCTTTTAATTAAAAGGCAGCTCAGTGCCTTCTTTACAGTACAAATGGGCACACAGCACAGATTTCTCATTTGGCAGCTCTTGAAGTGGTTCAAAAGGGAAGTATCCAAGTCAAATTAACATACAAAACTTAGGACAAACAGTGAGGGAGATACTGAAACTCTGCTGAACACATTCATACAAACAGCGTCCTCCGATTTGACAGATTCCTAAATCCAGACTGCTTGAAAAAGGATGCTGAAGTGAACCAGAGGAGCTTTAGTGGCATGCGTGTCTCCCCCACCCCAAATCCACATGTCCCTAGTGAGTCTTAAAGGGCATTTAACAAACCATCACTAAAGCACAGGTGGATACAAGCCAGCTGCCAAAGCACACAGCACAGCAGCACTTAGCAATGGCAGTTAAGTTTACTGAAACAGCACTCCCATCATGGATGCCGTGTTTCCATTAGCCTGAAAGCCTTTTCACACAGCCTTCTATGGAAGCAGCTATATTAGTGTTCTTTAGCCCCATTAATACAGAATTTAAAATGAGAGGTGTGCATATTTCTGAATACTTAAAGGAGATCCACAAGTTCTCACCCTGTTTCTCTTTCAGATGAGGAACTGATTTGTAATAAATGGTCAATTCTTAAAGTGGGCAATTGAATTGAGCTCCCCCTGCCCCTAAGTTTCATTTCTACGACATTCTCTTAATAGCCAGGAAGGCTCTGCCTCTGCGCAGGCTGGACTCCGTGTGGACGTTGACTCTTTCCTATTCTTTTTTGTCAAGTCATACAACAGCAGCAGCAGCAAAAAACAATCAGGGCTAGAGCTGCACTACAATAGTGTGACAACAGAAATGTGCAGTAGCTTATTGTTCATAATCATCACCCAGATATTTACAGATGTTTCTTACAACTTTAAGCTAAAAGTAGTTGACAAGAATTTCTGCAGTATAGTATTTAAACATTAAGTAGCAGTTTTCTGTATCAGGGCACTTAGTTGTATGGACTTCAAAATTACTACATGCTCACACGTGCCCATATTGCACAGGTAATCACAATGTTGCCCAGGGGCACACAAGAAAATTGGTTTGGTCTTCTCTCACCATCCACCCCTATGCAGAATGAGTGTCTGGCTCAAGTATTCCTACAGAGCCAAGAGGACCTTCCAGAGGGCATTTTCAAAGGTCCAAGCTTTTTTAAGGGTATGAAAGTCAACTCGTTTCCCTTGGCACGCACAACAGCAAAGTGCTATACACTACTAAAACTGAGTTCTAAAATAAAGGTAACATTACAACACTATTTGCAGCCCAAAGTTCATTTTCCAATGCTGACTCAATCTCAAACAATGTACTGCCTGTCTATAGAGGTTTTTTCCTTGAAGGATCGAGGAATTTGAGGTGACGTCCTATTTCCTTTATTCAAGTAAACCAAAGCATGAGACAAAAAACAAACGGCAAAGCCATATTTGGACAAATTAAACCTGCCATCAAAACGGCCCAAGTGGTAGGACCAAATGATTCTTTCTTTCAAGAAAGTCAGAGGATTTACTTTGGATCTCCTGTATCAGAAGGCCGGTATCCTATCAGGAACACACGTGCAGAGACTGCAGTGTTGACACTTGATTAAGGAAATGCAAAAATGGTACCTGGCTGCCACTTGCCTATAAGGTGCAGCCAGCACCTATAACATGCACAGTTGGGAAAGGAAGAAAAAAAATAGGAGAGGAAACAAAAATAAGATGGCAAGTAAGCTTAAGGCACTTTCTACTCATCTAAAGCTATGCTGAAACATGCAGAAGTAACAATTGCCAGTAGGGCTTGTATTTCATCAAAAATAAGCAACCTCAAGTAAATTCAAGATATCTGTGCAAAATAGCACAAGTCATTTAACTGTACAAATGCACTGCAAAGTGGATCTATCTCACCAAATCTGGTATAGTAACCAAGTTTGTTTTAAAAGAAGTATTTAAGTTAAATTTAATAGCAAAACAGGTTTTCCTCAAAGCTTTAAATTGGCTTATACATAAAGTCCACAGATTTAGTAAGCTCAATTCAAGCTCAGAAACAAGAAAAAATTGTTTAAAATTTAGATTTCCAATTGAGATAAATCTTCAAACTTATAAAGGCTATTCTTTAATCAATATTTTTTTCTGTAACTGGTTTGAAAAAACTGAAGTATTTATTTTATGGCAATTCAATTGCAAGAATAGGCACCTTCAGATCAAAACAGAAGTTACAAATTTTAATTTGCACTTTAAGAGTGGGGAGAAAGAATATGAAACTTCTCAAAGTGATATTCTCCTCTGTTAAACAAGCCCTCAAACAGTGGTATAATTCAGGACCAGAAGCACTAACATGAGGTATCTCATTAAGATTAAATTGTTTTAACTCTCCTTTCTTTACCTCAACCATTTGAGAGTAGTGATCTATATACCTTCATAAGAATAACTGCTTTAAGAGCATCTCCCAGACTCATAGCCTGAGGAAGCTGAAAAAAATAAAAAGAATTAGCTCTTTGAGGCTTCTAAATAACCATTCTAAATAACCATTCATTGACTGTCAAAAAAAAAACAACACAGAAAACATAACAAAAAAGAACTCAGTTCCTTTTCGTAATCTCTGTATAATAATTAAAAGCCATTATACTTAGAGATACGATGATAATCAGGAAAAGCTTATTCCATTGCTCCAGCCACATGTATAATCCAACATACAATTCCATTCAGGCAGGTTTAACTGTCACAGCAATTTCATAAGAGTAATTATGAACTTAGGCTGAAGGGCAAAGACATTTTCTACTCAGTGAGTAGGACTGTTGTGTGACCAAAGAAATCTTCCAAATTTCTGTCTATCTACAAAAAGCCACATATCTTGTCAGCCAACAACTTTTGGTTTATATATTCAAAAAAACTTGGGTTAAGAGTGGAAAACACCATACTGAAGAGCCAGATCAATTTTCAAATCAGATGGTCAGTTTCCTCATTTCTAAGAAAAAGGTCACAAGAAACATTCGATGCTATACACTAAATTCCTCTTTTGATTGTCTACATAAAACATAGGAGGAAGGCAAAACTTTATAAGTTCCAGACAGTATCTTCAGCATTAGGTAAAATAACTCCAAGAAAACAAACAACAAAAAAAAGATAAATGAGCTAGCAAGGAACTTCTCCCCTCCATAACCCTCCCTCCAAGTCTTCTAGCCTATGAAAAGTTCTTACAGTTTCAGAATGTTCTTCCAAACACGGTTGTTAAAACTGCACCAGAAGCCACATGCAAACTGAGCGGGCTGTGAAGGGCCAGTACCTTGTGTTGGGGTGTCAAATCACTCAAGTTCTACCTGGCCAAACAAAACCCAAGACATGAGCAAAGCCAATCCTGGCTGTTCCTTAATGAAAGGCCAGCATTGCCCCTGCTTCCCTCCTCCCCCAAACTAGTGTTGACCGACTGATCATACTGTAGTTTCCCTGCCCGCTTTGAGGTTAGGTGCTGAGAACTGGCGCCTCATCCGCGGGGGTGTCACGAACTGGTTATAGTGGTTAAGCCGGTCCGTCTGTTTGGGGCTGCCGTTAGCCGTGCTGCCTTCTGCACCGCCTCCGCCGCCGGGGCTGCAGTACGGCTGGCGGTGCTGGTGGATGTGACGCTTCTGCTGGAAAGTCTGCAGGTCTGGGTGCTGCTGCCCGCCGTAGGAGTGCAAGGATTCGGACGAGCTGGACGCCTGACGCCGCAGGCCTTTCTGGGAGCCGCTGTTGAGGGAATTGCTTCTCCAGCGCAAGGGAGGTGCTGGCTGCTGCGGATTGCTAGGCTGTGACTGGGTGTTTAGCTGCTGCCTGTTAATTTGGATATTATCTTGACTCCTTTGGGGGCCACAGAGACTCCACAGCTGTTGAGGGTCTTTAGAAGCAGCTCTAATCTCTTTTTCTTTGTTTTCATCTTTGTTCTTTTCATCTTCTTTTGGAATTCTAACCTCAATAACTTCATCCTCTGTGATAATTATATGAGTGCCTGGACTCCATGAGTTTCTATGTTTGGGGTTGCTTTTGAAGGGAAAACGGGGCTTGCGATTTTCAGGCGGGATGAATCGGTGAGGCATGTTTTGTCGACGAAGTTGTTTTGCAATTTCTTGCTGCTGCAGATTTTTAAATCGAATCTGCTCTTGTCTCATCCAACGTAGTCGCCCACGTCTGAAAGCTGGATCACCTGCCATTAACTGAGAAACACGTTCCTCTTTAGCAAGATCATCATTTTCGCTTCTTTTTAAATTATCTGTGGGCTTTTTATCCACATCCTCTACAGAGGCAGAATTTGGAGACTTAGCATTAGCTACAGTTGACTGAGCTTTCTCTGGAGACCCTATGAGAGGTAAAACCTTCTCCATTTTTAGCATCTTATTTCTAAGAACTTTTATCTCTTCGTCCTTCATGTTGTTCTGTTTCTTCACTTCTTGCAAAATATCTTCCAGTTTGTCTATATGCACCTTAAGGTCATCCACATCAGTTATTCCCTTGCCATTGGCCATAACATCTTCTATTTTCTCATCTCCAACTCCTACCGTGTCCCAGACATCACGGGCAACAGCTCGCCATGACTCCCGCTCGTTTGGATCCTTCTTCCCATACATAGCACAAAGCTCTTTCATTTTAACAATGGCCAAAGCTTCGATCTCCTGTCTAGTGTGTCTGAAGTCATTGAGCGCTACCTCATAGCATATCTCTTTCACGGCCTGAATCTTTAGGTCTGAGATGGTGACCCATTTGGAGTCTTTGCTAAGGCGCCGGCGTTGGGGTATCTGGTACATTTTAATGGGTTCTCGCTTCTTCCCACTGCTGGGGAGGCCACACTTTTTTACAATGGTTTGGAGCTTGCTGGGTGGCAGCTTCTCTCTCAGGGAAGTGATCAGTCTCCAACTCTCCTCACACGATCTCTTGTCCGAATCATCCCCACTATCAGAGTCTGCATCCTTTGGAAAAACAAAAATCAAGAAGTGGCCCCAAAATAACCAAAATTAAAATTGTAAGGAAATGGAAAAGCTAAACAAGAAGTAGCAGGCAAAGAAAACTAAATCAAAAATCAAAACAGAACAAGTGATAAGGAAGTCTCTCAAGACTGAGTGTTAGGACATTAAATGTATCTTCGAGAGTCATGTCAAAATAGGAGCTTTTCACTAAACCCAGATTACCATTATATTTAAGTCTTGCCAACTCAAAAGAGGAGGTGATCTAAATTCTTCCCTCCCAATCCCTTCCAAAATCTTTAAATAGATCAGCTTTATACAGATCTTTAATTGGATCAACTAAAACAGAGCTCCTGACCAAAACAAAGAAAAAATAAAAATGATAAAAATAATAATAATAATAAAAAAAACCACAAAACCAAAAACCCACAAGTCTAATTTGCACTTCATGTGCTACAAAGACATGCAAATCCCCGCCACACACATTTGCCTTGGTTACTGCTGTTGCTTCTTTCAGCAAATCCTCCCCAGGTAGGTGAACAAAACAGCCATCATAGAAGATGTCATGAGCAGCCAGAGTAAGTCAGGTTAACACTGGTTAGTAGTTGCACATGGTTGCAGGGATGCTCAAATTTAGAATCCGCTTCACTACAACAGCAGCCAAAGAAGTGTTAGACGTAAGAAAAAAATGAAACAGAAGCAGCTGAAAGGTTCAATGTTAAAAGGACTGTAAGTGCCACTATGACAGGTGAAGACAGTGGTTTGTATTCCAAGATGTGTTACAAGCTAAAGGGATATCCAGAATCAGAGTTTCAAAGTTTTTTTCTCCATTTTGTCACCTTGCTGTTTAGCTTAAGAAACATTAACAGTCTTGACTGTCCGAAGAATGAGTGCCAGGAGAATGTAGCAGTAAAGACCTTTTTATTGTTTTAATATGAATTCTCTATTTGATATCCTTGATTTCTCTTCTTCTCAAACCCTAGAGCCTGGAGCTTCCACACACTTGCTAAGAGTTATGCTTGCTTTGCTTCTTCATTAAAAGTTTTCCTTCTTTTGCTAAATCACTTTTATTGAGCAGTGCTTCAGGTTTCCATATGCTAGGAATGTTTGTTCAGGGATACTGCCACCAGAAGTTAAGTATATCCATTATTGCCTACTGCAATCAGAAAAAGTCAGACTATTTTTTTTTTTAAAAGGGTTATTAACTTAAGACATCTCTTTGACAATCAAAAAGTCCTGCATAATAATGTGATCCACTGGAACACAAAATCTTCAATGATTCACAAGTCAATCTCTAATGAACTCCTAATGTCCATATTTTTCACAGTAAGAATTGTAATATATGAAAAATCTGGAGCAACAACAGTCAGTTACTCTAAAACCAAAAAGAAATATATGTCACTGACTCTGAAACTGCAGGTTCCTAAATCTAATTTAAAACTGTGTAAAATACCACAAAGAATAGGGTGTATAATCCATATTAGGAACAAAGAAAAGGAGTTGAAAAAAAAATCTGCTTCAGTTAATGAGCTCTATAGCCTAAGATTCATGTTTTCTGAGCTTCTTGTGACCTTAGGAACTTATAATAAAGAAGATTAGCACAAGAGAATCAATTCTCTTAATTTAGGCCAAGATACAAGCAAAACATTGAATTTGAAACAGAAGATAAATTTCTCAGGAGTTTATGGTTGACAAAATATGTGGCCTAAGGGGATAGCACCTAACATATTCTATACTGCAGTACAAATGAAAGCTGCCCTGGAGAACGACACCACATACTGCACAAGTCATACATTCAAGCCTGTGTCCAGAAAGGTGACACACTAGCTACTTAAACATTATGTCACAGGTTACACATGACCGTAATTATAGGTTACATATTTACCACATTACTGCTTATGGGTAAAGCATGTCTGCTATATGGAAAGCTGATAATGAGACATTATGTGGTCACTGACCTAGATGGACTCAGAGATTAACTAGCCCAATTAATAAATCCACCCACCTTCGAATACCAACCGGTCACTAAAAAGGCATAATGACCCCTCCCCAAAAAAGTAATTTTAGTTCTAATAAACATATTTTCATATCCAATTTGAGAACTGCACGATGTTCTCAAGAAATGCCAGCAATGCAAACATATTAGTTATAAAACTGTAAGGGAAAAGAGCTATTGTTTATCATTTTTGTATAGTACAACTAAAGACCCAAACTGGTTGGCATCCAAACACTACACAAAATGATAAACAGCATTAGCCAGCATATTATAGTCAAGATTATTTTCCAATTTAGAACAAGAAGAGTATTTGTATTTTTACATCCATCTTATATAGTAATAAGTTATAAAATCTTGATACTGTATCTGGCTATTGCAGCAGTGTAAACGCTTTCAAGGCACATAGGCTGAAATGCATTTGCAGATTTCCAGATCATTATTCAAAGACTATTTAATAAAATATGCATCCTACCCATTCCAGACTCTTTATCTAGTGGCACAGAAACAACCAGATGCATTATGAAGTTGCACTATCCTTTGAATATTCTTACTAAATATCGTCAAAAGCAGGATTCTGCTTAACAGATAAATGAGACTCATTCATTACAATCCTTTACAACTAGGAAAGCTGTTCTTAAGGAATCTACATTGGCAAAGTGTGTAGAATAGTCTTCTACCCCTGCTCACTAAACATCAGCAAAAATAAAACAAGCTTAAATAAATCAGTACCTTGCACACATACTGAATAATGTACTATTTAAAGAACCTTTCTTAAGATTAAGTATACAGGGAAACAAACACCCTTCACAAGGCCCTGTTTGAAGGGGATCCCCAGACAGGCAATTCTCACATGTTTAATTCATGTAATAGTTTAGCTATCTAATATTCCTGTCACCAAAATTTAAGGGAAGGAATTCCA